GGACCCATTGCTGGCTGGCTGGCTGGGTAACTCAGCACCATGTCCTTATCTGCACCCCAGGGGAAGGGATGAGAGTAAGAGCTCCCACTTCACAGAGTGGGTAGAAGGATGAGCTACAGAAACAGATATGAAATCCTTAGACCAGTGTCTGGTACAGAAGTTGGTAAATACTAGGTATTATAGTTTTACAAGTGTTTTAATGTATATTCTCCTCAGAGAGTGGCACCGTGATGCAGAGTCTCACCAAAGACTAAGATTCCTAGAGCACACTGCTTCCTGAGAAAAGGTTTTTAGGAGAGTGGAGTCCCATTGCAGACTCTTTAGGGCATTGCATTGGAACAGGGCCTCTCAAACTTGAATGTGCACTGGGAGCCCCTGGGGTCTTGGTGAACTGCAGATTCTGTCTGTAGGTCAGGGGTGGGCATGACTGTCTGCATTTCTAACAAGTTCCGTGACGATGCTGATGCTGCTGGTCCAGGCGGACCATGGTTTGAGTAGCAAGGGCCCAGGGAATGTAGATTTCACCTAATGATGAAAGGTTTAACGCTGATTGCAAAAGAAAGAAATATGCCACTTGCCTGTGCCTTTTTTTCATTTTTAAACTACTCTGACCTCGTTTCTAAGCTATTGCTAAAGTTTGTAAAACACTTCATCAAACCTGGAATAAAATCTCGGTACTGAAATATGAATGTTTTCCACAAATTGTTCCCTTTCCATGCTAGGAAGTGGTGTCTCTCTGACTTTATTACCAATCAGCTCATTACCAAGGACAGCTCTGTGGCAGCTCACCAACCACCAACTACCAACTACCTCATAGCTGCCTATTCATTCTTCATCCTCTCCTCTTCCTTACTAACGAGACCCCAATTTTATTTGAGGCAGGAGTGTGTTAACATAACCTTATTCCCCTGGCCCTCTTGCTAAAGGCAGGACCAGTAAGATGGAAGGTTAAAGTCATTAGGTAGGACTTGCAGAAAAGGTTTTTAAAGAGAATTTAAAAGCTGGCAGGTAAATTTTCTCTTCCTGGTATTTCCTGTTACTTTCTGCCTGGAACACATACATGATGGTGGGAGCTTCAGCAGCTATCTTGGAATGTGAGGCAACATCAAGAATGGAAGCCACATGATAAGGATGGTGGGGCCAACAAATAGAGCTATACATTGATGGTGTCACTACCACACAAGCTGTTTTCTGCTTAATTCCAGACTGCCTTTACATTTTAAAAAATCCCAATTTGTTTCAGCCACTTGTTTTTGGTTATGTGAAGACTGTTGGATCTAATGCTAACAGACACCATCAAAGCAGATGCAGTTTAGCAAGGCAGATATGGGTTTAAATCTATGTCTAAAACTATCATCTTTCTGACTGCCCTTTCTGGGATTCACTAGTGGTGTAGGGTCAAGGGAACTGGATTGAGAGTTCTTTGCTCAGCTCTGCTATTTCCTAGCTGTGTGATTGTGTTTTTTCTTGGCCTCAGCCCCTTCGTCTGTAAAACGGGGATGAGAGATGAAAGTGACCAGCACAGTGCTGGGGTGCAAAACTCATTCCACTGGTGCTGGGGGCAGGGTATGTCAGGATGATGGTGTGGGGATGTGATGCAGGGGCCAGTGCTAATGAAGCAGGGAGGGGCCTTGTGGGGTGAAGCTTGAGTGCTGGCAGCAATGCAGCTTCTAGTCCTTGCTTTAAAAAAATTTTTTTTGAGATAGGGTCTCACTGTGTCACCCAGGTTGGAGTGCAATGGTGTAGTCACAGCTCACTGCAGCCTCAAGATCCTGGGCTCAGGTGATCCTCCCACCTCAACTTCCCCGGTAGCTGGTAGCTGGGACAGACCCATGGCCAGCTAGTTTATTGCATTTTTTTTTTTTGTAGAGATGGGGTTTCGTCATGTTGCCCAGGCTGGTCTCGAACTCCTGGGCCGAAGAGATTCACCCATCTCAGCCTCCCAAAATGCTGAGATTACAGGTGTGAGCCACTGCACCCCACCTTCTAGTGCTTTCTTTAGGAGTGTCCTCCTTGGTGTACTGAGGGCGGCAGAGCACCTTCCTCTGTTGTGGCCAGAAGGGTTGGACCAGGTGACCCTTTTAGCATGAATGGTCTTTGGTTTTGTTGGGAGGGAGCTGGGGGCAGAACAAGCAGCTTTCCACTGGGCTCGAGAAACCTGCCTTGGCGTCTTCCTCCACCAGCTCCTAGGCGTGATACTGAGTCCTGGGAGGCAGCCCAGGCAACGTCTTGCCTCCCCGCACAGCTTTGCTGCTGAAATCTAAGTGACTCTACCCCAGCTGCTTGCTCTGAGCCAGCCGAATGTCTGGTCAACAAAGAGCGTTTGTGCTGTCCTGTTGACTGTAGCCTATAGTAAGATTGAAACCACAGCAGAACTGTGCACACTTCTGCTGGCCGAATCAGAGATGCTTTTTGCTTCTAATGTGACTCAACTACTCTCCAAACCTGAAGCCATCACTCTTTGTCCTACCCCTCCTCCCTACTCCAATCAGTTACGTTCGGCACCTGCAGGGTTTCCGCTCATGCATAGCTAGCTGATTCCTGGAGGGCAAAAACCATGTCTTTACAGTGAACTAAAAATATCAAGAGATGCACTTACCTCCCCGCACAGAGGGGGGTCACCAGGGAGACCTGAACTAGGATGGCTCAATTGGAGCCTCTCACTGTTTGGCCCAGTGGGTCTCCGTTTTTCTGCCCAGCTGCTGGACAGCCTGAAACATGCCTGCCTTTCCTTACTGTGGCCGGTTCCTGGATTTTAAAATTGGACATGATTGAAATAAGGTCTGTCTGGGTGCGCATGTTACACACAAGTTGTTTCCCTGTTCATGTTTTGTCCTATAAAAGGCAGCCAACCCTGTGTGTTCTTTCTGGTCTTCTTATTTAAAAAAAAAAAATTGTAACTAAATTTTTTGATGGAAAAGGAACATGTGCCAATAGAGGGGAAAGGCAGCCAGGATAAAAGGGTCTGCAGTGACCGGTGGCTGTTCTCCGTGTCCCAGCCCCAAGGACTCTCAGCCCAACTCCCTGGGAGTCCTAAAAATGAGCGTGGTTATCTTAGGTACTTTTCTAGGAAGAAAGAAGAGGCTTTGTCCTGCCTGCCTTTGGGGCTGTCGTCACCAAGTCAGTGAGAGGAATTGAGGAAAACCAAAGGTGGCTCAGCTGCCACAGGGGCTCCTGCCATGATTGCGTGAGCTGACGAGTGGTGGGGGCATGGAGGGGTGGGTTGGCCCAGGTGGCAAGCCATTGTTAGTGGCTGGAAAGTTCCCACCACCGCCACAACAGGCAGCACACAGTCTGAACAAAGCCAGCCCTCTTGCCAGATGGCATTTTTGCTATTTTAACCCCAGGGCCTTGCAGAGCCAGTACGCTGGGGGCTTCGGGAGGCGGCCAAGGCCTTCCAGGAGGCTCAGTTTGAGCCATAAAGCCCCGGACGTGCTTCCATGCATGACGGCCTCGGTCAGCACAGGGCAGGCCTGCGGACTGCGGGGCTGGCCACAGGTTGCTGCGTGAGACCCAAAGCCTTTATTCTGATTCCCGTCCTGGTCGGACGAGATAAGAAGTTCAAGTTCTCTGGTGAAGTATTTTTTTTTTTTTAACCTGTGTAGCTGGAGACTGGCTTGTCCTCTTCTGGGTGGAGGCTTTGAATGGACCCCAGGACCATGGACCCCAGGGACCCCCCTGCCCCACCCCCACCACACTGGGACAAGGTGTCAGTGGCCACTCCAGGTTGGTGATTGGTGATTAAGGAACTGACAGCATTTTCGTCCCTCCCTCTACCATTTCTGTCTCTGTTTTTTTTTTTTTTATTGTTGATGTTTTTAAATTTTTTATCAAAGGCAGAACAGCAATGGTATCTCCACACAGGAAACACCACGCCTTTGTGACCACATGAGACGCAACGTCTTCATCATGGATGAGGAAGGGAACCAGGTCTGGAATTCTGGCTCAGAGTAGATGCATCTTAATGGAAGAAGAATTAGTCAATTCTGTTTCTGTGGTTTACTCTTCCTGTCTCCTGCAGATGAATTCATTAGTTTAATTAATGAGAGCCTTTTGCCTTCCTCTGCAGTGTTGCCCATGGAAATAGTGGATGATCATGGCTCCCTATTATGAAAGGTGGAGAGCATTGTTTGATTAGGATCAGAACCCTTTTAACCCCCAGAAAATAGCTTCTAGGTAAGGGACTGGACACTCACACACGATGAAGACGTGAGTGTCTGGTGTTCTTCCCTCTTATTAGGCAGCCTGCCCTTCTCTTCCTGCCTTTGCAACAGCTCTAGGTAGGACCACACGGTACAAGTGCCTCGTGTGTGACTTCTGCTTCCCTTGCAGGAAGTCATAAATGTTGACTGACTGTCAAATGCTTGTGGGAGGTCCCCATGGTGTGGGGAAGGGGGAGACTCAGCTTAACCACAGACAAAGGTGTGCATGGGAGGCGAGGAGGAGGAGCTGGGAGCCAGGGCTTGGAGGCAGTCGGTGATCTTTCCCAGTCTGTGATCCTCAGTGTCGGAAGACTATGTAATCCCTCAGGACAGGCAAATGGGATAACTGGATGGATGCTGCGGAAGTGTGAACTCAAGAAGGTAGAGAGAAAACCACAAGGCATCGGCGTAGCAGGGAGGTTAAGGGCATTGCCTTAGAGTCAGGCAGTCCTGGGTGTGGAAGCCCCTCCACCACTTACCATCTGTGTGACTTTGCCCACGTTGTTGTGGGGACCTGAGTTTCCTCATCGGTGACCAAGGTGTTGTAAGGGTTAAGGAAAATGGTGCATGACGATGGCCTAACACAGTGCCTGGGGTATGCTAAGTGTTTACTGTGTGGGAGCTGTTCGTGGTGCTACTGGTAGGAATCAAGTGACCAGCCAGCCAGAGTTAGACCTCAGGGCCGCCACCTGCCAGGAGGCAGAGGAGACAGCTATTTGTTCATCCTGTTTTCGTTTTGTATGCTCCTCATTGTGTTCCAAGGTTGCCTACGTGAGACCTCTCTTGGACTCCTTTCAGGGAAGCTTCATTGCTCAGTGCCCGAAGACCCTTGTTAAAAACCCTGGTTGTCCCTGAAGTGGTCACCACAACATGGCCACATCAACAGCGTCCCTCACAGGACTCCCAGACCACACACACCAGAAGGGTCTGCCCGGGAAGCCTGAGCAGAGTGATGGAGCAGGGGACGGGAGGTGAGGCTGGCGGAAGTGAGCAAGGACCACACTGTCACTGCGGATGCCACACTGCAGAGTGGAGCTTGACGGGTAAGATCGTGGGGGCTGCTGCAGGCGCCAAGCAGGAGGGTGGGGTGAGCCCGTCTGAGTTTGGAGACATGACTCTGGCGGCAGGGACTGGATGCTGAGGCCGCAGGCAGAAAGACCACGGCTGCCGTCATCCGGGGGGGAGACACTTTTTCAAAAATTAGTATATCTGTATTTTATTATTTATTTATGTTTCAATAACTTTTGGAGTGGTACAGGTGTTTTTTTTTTTTTTTTTTTTGGAGATAAGAGTTTCGCTCTTGTTGCCCAGGCTGGAGTGCAATGATGTGATCTCAGTTCACTGCCACCTCTGCCTCCCGGGTTCAAGTGATTCTCCTGCCTCAGCCTCCCAAGTGGCTAGGATTACAGGCGACCGCCACCACACCTGGCTAATTTTTTGTACTTTTAGTAGAGATGAGGTTTCACCACGTTGGCCAGGCTGGTCTTGAACTCCTGACCTCAGGTGATCCACCTGCCTCGGCCTCCCAAAGTGTTGGGATTACAGGCATGAGCCACCGTGCCCCGCCCTTCAAGTGACTTTTTGTTACATGGATAAATTGTATAGTAGTTTATTCTGAGATTTGTGCTCCCATCACCCGAGTAGTGTACATTGTACCTAATGTGTACTTTTTATCCCTACCCGCCTCGCGCCCTCCCCCTTCTGAGTCCCCAAAGTCCATTATATCATTTTTAGGCCTTTGTGTCCTTACAGCTTAGCTCCCACTTATAAGTGAGAACATATGATACTTGGTTTTTCACTCCTGTGTTGCTTCACTTAGCATAATGGCCTCCAGCTCCAAGTTGTGGAATGTTCTGTGATACCCAGGTGCTTTTTAGAAAACCTGCGCCAGGGGCTCGGGACAGATCTGAGCTATGGCCATAGACAGGGGGTCATCTGAAGCCACATCCGTGGAGGAGATCACTTAGCACCTCTGGAGAGTGAGCCAGGGAGCGCTTCCCGAGTCAAACTTGTCCTTCGGATTAACAGGTTAAGTAGCCACATCCATGGAGCACCCTGAAACCTGCGATGCGTAGGGGACAACGCGCTGTGTTGTGGACATCACCCCCAACATCACCCCAGGGTGTTTTGCCCAAGGGCAGGGGGAGGCAGAAGGATGTCAGATAACCTGATTGATGGCGGCTTCGGGATGAGGCCCCACAAAGGCACTTGGGAGGGTAGGTCCCAGGGCCACCCAGCTCTCCAGGAGGGCGGTGCATGGCAGGGAGGGACCGCAGGGAGAGATGGCAGATTTGTGGTGACCTGAAGGAGAGGAATCTAAACTGTTCGAGAGACAGACCTCAGGAGGACTTGCTTTAAAGCTAACTCTTTCTTAACGACTAAGTTGAATGTTTTAAAAATTTCGGCCGGACACGGTGGCTCATGCCTGTAATCCCAGCACTTTGGGAGGCCGAGGTGGGCAAATCACGAGGTCAGGAGATCGAGACCATCCTGGCTAACATGGTGAAACCCCATCTCTACTAAAAGATACCAAAAATTAGCCGGGCGTGGTGTCGGGCGCCTGTAGTCTCAGCTACCTGAGAGGCTGAGGCAGGAGAATGGCGTGAACCCGGGAGGCGGAGCTTGCAGTGAGTGGAGATCGCACCACTGCTCTCCAGCCTGGGCGACAGAGCGAGACTCCATCTCAAAAAAAAAAAAAAATTCCGGTATTCCCAAATCGTGGGCAAGCTGATGCTCCAAAGAACATTAGGAACATCTATTTCAATGTCTCTGTTTTCCAGATGAGGAAATTGAGGCCCAGATAAGCAGATGCGATGGACACACCAGGCTGCCCCTTCCTGCGAGAATGTGTAGACACAGCCTTTGTTTCCTTAGGAAAGGGCTCCCTCCTCAGCAGGATTATGGCCAGTTTCCTTCCCTCTTGCCAGACAGTCTGTTAGGAGCTTTATCGAAGCTTTTTCTTTCTAGTCCTTTCACTGCCCTAAAACTTGCAATCAAGTTCTCAGATTAATTTATCACAAGTTAGAGAGCGGCGGGCGAGGTGGCTCATGCCTGTAGTCCCAGCACTTTGGGAGGCCGAGGCGGGTGGATCACGAGGTCAGGAGTTCGAGACTGCCCTGATCAATGTGAAACCCTGTCTCTACTAAAATACAAAAATTAGCCAGGCGCGGTGGTGCACGCCTGTAATCCCAGCTACTCAAGAGGCTGAGGCAGGAGAGTCGCTTTAACCCAGGAGGCGGAGGTTGCAGTGAGCTGAGATCGCACCACTGTGCTCCAGCCTGGGTGACAGAGTGAGACTCTGTCTCAAAAAAAAAAAAAAAAAAGAGAGAGAGCTCTGGAAGGAAGGGGTTCTTCTCCCAGCCTTTGAGACTCAGAAGTGGGATTCCTGGACCAGCAGTATCAGCAGGCCCTGAGAGCTTGTTAGAAATGCAGACTCCCAGGCCCCATCCAGACCTACTGACTCAGCACCTGCATGTTAACAAGACCCCCAGGTGATTCCTAGGCAAGGTGGTTTGAGCAGCACGGTGCGAGGTTGCCCTTTCCCAAAACAGCCTTTCTACACTGCTGGACCAAGGATATGCTACCCAGCAATGTCACCCACCTAAAATGCAGCCCCTCTGCTTCCCTCAAAAGCCTTCAAAGTGACGAATTAGTAACCAGAAGGTTATGCAATGAAGTTCTTTGCTTTATAGATCAAATGCTTAGGCTTCTCCAGAACGGCGATAGAGGCCAGGCACGGTGGCTCACACCTGTAATCTCAGCACTTTGGGAGGCCGAGGAGGGTGGATTGACTGAGGCCAGGAGTTTGAGACCAGCCTGGCCAACATGGTGAAACCTGTTTCTACTAAAAATAAAAATACAACAACAACAACAACAAAATAGCCAGATTTGGTGGTGCACACCTCTAGTCCCAGCTATTCAGGAGGCTGAGGCAGGAGAATCACTTGAACCAGGGAGGTGGAGGTTGCAGTGAGCCAAGATCTCCAGCCTGGGAGACAAAGTGAGATTCTGTTTTAGAGATAGAGATTAGGACGAGAAGGACTCAAAAAACAAAGTAGTCTGGGGCTTTTGTTTAGGGGCAGTGACAGTCCAAAGGCCCCCAAGGCATTGCTGTTCTAAGACTGTCTGATACCTGACACTACAGAGATGACCCTGAGTGATTTCACAAAAAGTTAAATTTATGTTCATTATTCCTGGATCATTAAAAGGAGAATTCACATTTTAGATATTCTTATAAAAATGTTGAGGAAGGCTGAATGCAGTGGCTCACGCCTGTAATCCCAGCACTTTGGGAGGCTGAGGCGGGCGGATAACGAGGTCGAGATCGAGAACATCCTGGCAAACATGGTGAAACCCCGTCTCTACTAAAAATACAAAAATCAGCCAGGTATGGTGGCATGTGCCTGTAGTACCAGCTACTTGGGAGGCTGAGGCAGGAGAATGTCTTGAACCCGGGAGGCAGAGGTTGCAGTGAGCTGAGATCGCGCCACTGCACTCTAGCCTGGTGATGGAGCAAGACTCCGTCTAAAAAAAAACAAAAACAAAAACAAAAACAAACAAACAAAAAACAACAGTTGAGGAAAAAACTCCTAGTACACAAAAGTCTTCTAGAAAGTTAATGTATGTGCTAGAATACTTCCTTCCCCCAATAATACCAGAGACATGCGGTTGTCCCGTATGTCCACTCACTCTCACTATGTATGTTGCAGATGAGCTGACCTCTCCCATTCCTGAAGCCTCCCTTTCCCAGTCAAAGTATTTTGGGTGGTTTCTGCTGCTGGTTGATAAAACACACAAGAGTCAAGAGGTTTTTTTTTTTTTGACTTTTTTTTTTTTTGGTTTGTTTTTAAAGAAACTGCATACATCATCAGAGACAAACAATAATTTAAATGCCATGCAGTTTCTGTATGTACAAAACCTAGGCCACAGAGATCCAGTTTAATTCGTATTCTCTATTTACATCGTTTTCCTCATACAGCCATCATCTGTTAAATTAGAACCCGGGAGATCAGGGGATTGACGGTCACCACACTCACTCCTATACAAAGACAAACTATGTACAGACACCCAGGAAGCAACTGGAAAATGCAACCGGTCTGGGGATTAACAGACAGATAGGGAGAAAAAGTCATTGAAGGTGACCTTTGCCCACCGGCTGTGCACAGGGAGAACCTGAAATTCCATTCATCGAAGCAACACACCACGATTTTCATTCGGCAAATAAAAATACATGTTGATAAGCGGGAGAAAAATAAAATCAGAGCTTTTCATCACATTTACCGTCACGTTGTTTGGTTTCTCTAATCTGACATAAAGGCTAAAGTTTTAAAAGTTTTACAGGGCTTTGAGGGCCTCTGGAGATGAATATATCAGCCATTTTAAAAAAGCTAGTAGGCTGATGGCGATCTCTTCTGTCATTGATTGGGGGCAGGGGGCAGGATCGGGCAATGTCTAATCTTTAGAAGGAAGCATTTGATTTGAGACATTTCACATTTTTCCTCTCACACTAATCCAAATGCAAAAATGCTCAACTGGGAATTTATACCCATACAATAAACTTTGACTTGCCAGCTGCAGCTTTTTCAAAAAAGAGATGCATTTTAAGTCATCTAGCTCACCCTTTTATTTTTTCCCTTAATTAATGTCAAATTGTCATCTTGGAAAGTAACACAAATTGCTACAGTCGTCATGATGTTGTAGCCGAAAAAAAAAAAAGAAAATTGAATAGGTCTCTAGAAAGACCTTAAGGTTTTGAGAAAGGAAAGAGACAGCAGAAGGCCCATCCTGCAGGCCACAGAGGTTGCTGAGCCTGTGTAAGAGCCACTTAAAACAGGCTTGAAATAGCCCGTCCTGAAGGCGCAGGACCTGTCTATGGCAGGGGAGGTGCACCCCTCAGTCTGAGCAAGTGACTTCTGGAAAAGAGGACCTGCAGGAAGAGCAGTGGAAATTGTGTTCAATATCTTCCATGCACAAAGTGGACTGCAACACGAGGGCACTTTGGGCGGAAACCCTGGGCTGTTTGCTGGCTGGCTGCAGGGAGATC